ATGCTGGATATCTCTTTGATTTTAAGAAAGCAAAAATAATTATCTTAAGATTGTGCAGTTTGTCTACGGGACAGAAATCTTTCAGTACATGGTGGATCAGGATCCTCCAGGATAAAGAGATTGGGAAGCGCTAGAATGAGGGGATGTGTCGCGCTCTGGTAGTCTAGGGTAGAGCCCAAAATGGAAATATTAAGCAGGGAATGTGAGTAGTAGGACGTAGATTTGAGTCAGGGCCACAATATGACTTCCATGGGCCCAAAATGCTTTTGCCTTTGTGGACTGCTCCACCATAATAATAGAATATTAAAACTTATATTTCTATAACTTTAAACAGCTCAATATTTTATTTTACTTTTTTTTTGGGATTTTAGAAAAAACATAACAGATTTTGTGTGCCCTACAAATTTCATTGTTTTCCTGCTATGAGAAAAAATTAAAACATTTTTTGGACCATAAAATTTAATTTTCCTCTTCTGATTTTAAAATAAACTAAAACATTTCCTGAGCCCCTAAAAGTTTTGTGGACCCCAGGCACTGCACCTCCTATGCCTAATAGTAAGTCAACCGGACAACAGGTGAGGGAGAAAGCTTCATCCAGCAGTGCTGAGTCCAGTGCTATTGATGGGGGAGAAGCTGGGAGTGAGCCTGCTTCATGGGAACTGTATCTCCAATTCCACAGCAAAGCAAATCTGACTGGCCGCAGACATTTGGCACAAGTGTCTCCAGTTTGCCAATGCAGAAGTTTGATAACTGCTTCTCTGCCTTTCTTCTAAGTGCTGCAAGTTGAAGCAGTGAACTAGAGTCCGGGAGTCTGGTTTCATGTTTTGATTCTATTTAGCTGTGTGACTTTGGGCAAGTCCTTCACCTCGATGTTCCAAAATTTGCAAAATGAAGGAGTTGGACTAGACAATAATTCTCTGGCTATAATTTATGCCCTACGTGCTTCTGACATAAGAGAAAAAGTCACAGAGAGATAGATGAAAGCATGTACACAAGGGAGGCAGCTATACTTAGATCAGGATCCAGAAATAAGTTATTTACTGCAAGACTATATTAAATTTAGCTCTGAATTTGCTGGCAGCTGAGAAGTATAGAATTCTCTTTGTTTGACCAAAGGACTTGTATCTTGTTGCTGCCCAGGATAAGCTTTCATGTAAGTTCCCTTGCTGACTAAACCTGCCACCTACTACCCGGGAAGGATCTGCCTCTTTCTTCAGTCTCTCCTTGCCTGCCATGTATGGGGGCCAGTTTCAGATTTCACCTGGGAAGCTCCTGAGTTTGCGAACCAATACCTTTATTCATACATTTTATTTTTTATTACAAAAGCACCATGAACATGATTTAAAATTTTTTAAAAAGTAAAAATTCACTTACAATCCAACCACCTCAATAAATCTAAATATTTCCCTTCTAGTCTTTACCAATGTAAAAATTATTCAAATCATCATTACTGAGAAAATCTTTTTGTTTTTTGATTTGTTTCCACCCAAGAAGATACATCCTTTACTCTCATGCTGCTTCAGTGCTGGGACACGTTGTTTTAAATGTGTGTGCGATACCGATTGGATAGACTTGGCAATTCCTTGGCCCCTAGGTGTTTAGTTGATTTCCAATTTTTTATTACCACCCAGAATAAGCAATTAATGTTGTAGCCGTTTCCTTCTATAGGACAATTTTCATTACATGAATTCCCTGGAATGATAGAATTAAATCAAAATGTATACATAATTTTTTCTAAGCCTTGCCTCTCTGCTTCCCTTAGAAATTGTACTGCCTTTACATTCTTGGCCACTATATGCTAAGATAATTTACTGGGTTATCTTAAGGAACAATGATCCTTTTCAATTCTAAATGGCTCTGGATGGGTCTGTTGCAAGGCATAATTTTTCTATGTCAGAGCAATGGAAACACTTGGTTTTCACTGGATTTGTTACCATTATTAATATACTTTTAATATTTCAATGTATGTAGTCTATTAAGCAGGGATAGAAGAGAATGTTTTATTGAACTGGGAATAAACACTGTCCGGGCAGGCGGGGATGAGGTTTGGAGTGGGCTGCTTAGACACATGGCACTCCTCATATCGGGGAGGTTGTTGAAGAAGTTAAATTCCTTGTCCTTGCAAAGATGTCCGCATGACTGGAACAGAGCTAGAATCATTCTGGATGGAGGTGGCTGGGCTCAACTTCCCCTCTACTCATGGCTCTAAGAATTTAACTGGAGCTGAGAGTTTCCTTCTTTCCTGGATCTCAAACAGTTCTGTCTCAAAGTGCTCCGCTTCCCTTCCCCACGTGTTTCCAGAGAAGACAGCCTGAGGGAGCGGAAGTGGTGCTAATTAAATCCTCCCTCTGTTTTCCAGGCACAGGAGCCTTTCGCAGATGTCTGTTGTTAGGCGCGTGTTCACAGAGTGCGGCAAATACAGAAGCAGGCTTTCCTTCTCCAAAGGCACAAACCTTCCCTCACAGGTTACCGGGAACTCTAGAAATGCACTTCCTTCCAACACCCACTGTAACGGAGGTGGCAGACCCATATAAATAGAGCGTGTAGCTGCCGGAAGGCCAAAGTGCCTCACTGATCTTCCCTTTCTCTCTCTCTTTCACACACACACACACACACATACACACCACACACACACACACACAATTTCTCCTGCTTCTTGGTGTGTATCTTGTATTTCTCACAGGCCAATCTCTGCCTTTTGTACACCTAACTTGAAACAATTACATGAAAACTCAGCAAAACCTTCCTGTTGTAAGACAGCGTGCGTCATGGGGGGCATGCTAGACTCAACGCATGGTTGTGAGTCCTGGGTAGGGGTCTAGGTGCTGCCACAACTCTCCAAGTGTGCCCTGGGTGGGTCCTATCAACTCTGTGATCCCCAGAGAGATGGAGATGAAACCATCCTCCTAGGGTTGCTGGGAGGATCAGATGAGATAACTTGTAATGTAATCTCCAGAGGGCTTCTCATTGGTGAGTCCCCTAACCGACTGTGTTTTCTCCTACATTCAAACCCCTCAGGGTGACTGTACATGGCCACATTTGCCTTAGATAATCCCAGTTTACTCCTATCATCCTGGCATAATTGTTTTTTTTTTTTTTTTTTTTTTGTGATTTGGGGGGATTGTTTCTTTAAAATAATTTTTTCATTTGGCATAATTGTTAATAGCACCCTTTTTATGCTTGAAAGCATCCAGATTTCAGCAACAAATTACATGGTCATACTTTTTTTACCTCTCTTGAATACTCTAATTAATCCCAATTTCAAGAATGTAAACTTGCTGGCGATAGGGGCTGTTTCTTACTTTCTGGTATTTCACAAGAACCCAGGCAATTGAATTTGTCTGATTAAGAACAACTCTATCTGATTAGGAACTCTGAGAAAGCCCTGAGAATAAGATGGCATTCCCAGTCACACAGCGAACCTGGGCATGAAACCCTCCTTTCTGGTAGCATCAGCAGCGTGCTTACTGTAGGAATGACTCTCTGGTCTCAGCTTGAAAATGGTGACCTGATTAGGGCCAGTTTTCACCAGGCTAGCATGTGCCTTCTATTTTATTTTGTTTTGTTTTGCTTTGTATTACTAAATGGAAATAAATTTATTGTGTTTTTATTTAAATCATATATAATCATTGTAAGCCATCCAGAGACCTATGAAAACTGAAAATAAAAATCACCTGTAACCCTATCATCCAGAGATAACCATTGTTAATAATTTATTTTAGGGCCGGCCCCACGGCTTAGCGGTTAAGTGCGAGTGCTCGGCTACTGGCGGCCCGGGTTCAGATCCTGGGCGCGCACTGATGCACTGCTTCTCCGGCCATGCTGAGGCCGCGTCCCACGTACAGCAACTAGAAGGATGTGCAACTATGACATACAACTATCTACTGGGGCTTTGGGGGAAAAAAAAAGGAGGAGGATTGGCAATAGACGTTAGCTCAGAGCCTGTCTTGCTCAGCAAAAAGAGGAGGATTAGCACGGATGTTAGCTCAAGGCTGATCTTCCTCACAAAAAAAATAAATAAATAATTTATTTTACTTCTTTTCAGACTTTTTCTAACCTCTGTCATACCATACATGTATATTCATATGCAAATCCAAGTTTTCCTCCTTCCTTCCTTCCTTTCTTCCTTCTTTCTTTCTGAATTATTTTAACAAATTTGGGTAACATTTTTCATACTGTTTTATAACTTACTCTTTTCCATTAACAATATATTTTGGACAGCTTTCCATGATAAAAATATACTCTCACATTTTTAATGACTACATTGTATTTCTGTATAGTATAAAAAATCTTATTTAGCCAGTTCCCTATTGATGGATTCTTAGTTTCACTATGTTCTTTTGCTATTAGATACAATGTTGTGTGTGTAATGTTGCTATCATATACAACGTTTTGCTATTAGACATAAAGTTGTGTATTTTTCTATTAGATATAAGGTTGTGATGAACAACCTTCTATATTGATGTCTTTGGGCATTTGCCTCAATTATTTCTTTAGGATAAATGTTTAGAATTGCAATTCTTCGGTTAAAAAATATGCTCAGTTCTAAGTGCTGTTTGTGCCCTTTGGTACCCAAGAAGCACACAAGAAGGTACATTATTATTGCTTTTAACTCTTAAGCTTGCAGGCTGATGGATTTTTAAGCAAAAATGCTATGAAATCTTGAAGAGAATTATCTGGCAATTATTTCATACTGCTCTTCCTTTGTTCAGCTCCCTGTTCCCTGGGATTAAAGATGAGAAAATGGAACTACTTGCAGCCTCTTTCTCTCTGTCCAGAGGGTCTCTGCTTCTCTCCCCGGGTAAATGGCCCCGTGGGATTGTGGAATCTGTGTTATTGAACTGCATCCATCAGTGCCTCTGTTCAGTTCGCATGTGGATGGGTTTGTCAGTTTCAGGAACATCATTTGCTCACTGTAGACTGTTTTGCCATAGCCAGGACACAGGTGACTTTTTTTTCCCCCTAATGAGAAGATTGTTTTTTTCCCCTTGTTTTAAGCTGAAGAAATGTCAATGATTGGGAATTGTGAAGGATTCCAGCCTGTGTCTCTGAAGCAAGAGGGAGATGACCAACCCTCTGAGACTGACCAGCTGTCCATGGAGGGGGACCCGGGCAAGCACCCAGTGCCAAGGCAGATTTCAAGACAGCCAAGTGTGACTGAATCAGCACTCTACCCCAATCCTTATCACCAGCCTTATATGTCACGGAAGTACTTCGTTACACGGGTAAAATCATTGGTGCTCTTAAGTACTACATAAGACTTCTCTTAAAAAACATCCTAATATCTTTCTATATACCATGTCTTACTAAGTATTTTCACTTTTGTTATCTCATGTAACAGTCATGATAACTGTGAGGTAGGTATCCTTATCCCCATTTTACAGGTGAAGGATCTGAATTTCAGAGAAGAGAAGGGTCTATTTTTGATCACCAGGTAGTATCGAGGAGAAGGAGGTCCTCCAGCCTCCATAGATCTTTTGCTCCTCAGTCCTGTGTTCATGCTAAACCTGACCTCAACCAATTAGTGTTCTGTGGAGAAAGAACCAGAGCAGCTAGAATATAAAGCTGTGATCCTGGAGTGAGTATTTGTTGTGTGTTTGAAAAGATATGGGTGATGGAGTGGAAAGGCTTGCTGGGAGTGGGCTGAACCTCAAGGGTCTACATTGAGATGCTGGTATTACAGTGTGGGAGCAGACACTTTAAAATCCCAAACCTGTAGCTGCAGTCTGGAGCTGAGCTCTCTTCTCTATCCATTGGAGCTAGAGTAAACGGAAAGTAAATGGATGGGTGGATAATGAGGATGGGCTTTGTATATCAAGACGTAAAAAACTGTATTTAAACTTCTAGCGTTTGGATCAAGTGGAGAGTGCTCCAAGGGTTTATCGTACCGTTCTCTCTCTTGAACTCTCCTTCCTACTTATAGATCTTCTTTCTCAATCCTTCAACATTCTTGTCAATACAGTAGAGGTTAGGTCATACGCGACAATCAACTGGGGGCAAAGTCAGGGTTGTGCATTGTGGCAACAGAGACCATCTCATTTTTCAAGCGTACATGGGACATTTCTGTTGAAAACAATTTTTTCAACTTAACCTCTTAAATAAATGAGGCCAAGATTCTGTGGCTATTTTCAAAACTTTAACTAATTAATCCTGATTCAGTAGCTTTTAAAATATATCTTTGGTTAAGATAGTTTTAACTAAAGTGACTCAAGGGGTGTGTGTGTGTATGTGCGTGTGTGTGAAGATAACATGTACCCATATCACATATATTCATTCACTGTTATGTGCAAATCGCTTTGGTAGGTGCTATACTATGTGTGTGTTTGTGTGAGTGTTTTTGCATATGTCGAGTACAGGGTTTGTTTTCCAAAGTATGTGAACTTTTTTTAACATGTAAAGTTAAGTTATAAGATATAGCTGCAAAGGAAATGAAAGCATACTCTAAAGTTTTTCTATCTTCGAAATTGATGATGTAGCAGTCAAGGTTTAATGAGAGAAGAACAACCATGAGTGATATAGAATAAGGGATTTATCAGTGGAATATGGTGCAATTATGAGAGCTGGCTGAGAAATCTGTGCAAATCTATTGTCTTTGCACCCGTTGATGGGCCTGAAGTTGCTATTGGCAGTTGTGAAGAGAGAATAGGGAATAAGGAAAAACTGGAACCTGTATGGACAAACTGGAATTCCCCATGACCAAGTGGAACTCATGAGGAAAAACTGGAACCTGTGTCTGTCTCTCACCAAGTCTAAGCAGGAATATGTGAGTCACTTTCAGGAGACACTGGTGCCTTTCTCCACTGAGCTGCACACTTAACCCATAGGAAGGAGAATCTGAGGGAGGAGGTCTGACTATAACAAAAGGTGCTGCCCTATGCCTTCAAGTGAGCCAGGAGACCAGGAGTTGTGAATATGAGCTGCCACAGTGCCTGGTGGTATGCAAGGAAAATGACTGATGTTTCACTTCTGCTTTTAAAATCTTATAGAAATGTCTCTTGTGGCTAATCCTAATTTGGAAACAGACAGGAAAGGGCATTTTAGAAAACATAGTTCCAGCTTAGCTAAATTGACACAGTCTACAGCCACCATGGAGGTTTTATTTATTTATTTGCATGAAGCTTTTATTTGTGTGGCACTATGTAGCTTATAAAGTCAAGTCCCTTGGAGCAACACTGTGAGGCAGGCAGGGAAGGGCTTATCACTCTTGTTTTAATGAGAAACATGTTCAAGTTTCAGAATAGTGAAGTGACCTGTCTGAGTCACATATTAGTGGAAGAGCATTAGTTAGAATCTGTATCTTCTGTCTGTAAGGCCAGTTCTCTTCCTACCATAATTTACAATTGAATTTATGGCACCTTTATAAGGTTTTTCAAGGACTGACTCTGCTCCATGTGAAGAACATCTTCTCTATCAGGTATATAGAAAACAACCGTAAATTCTCAAGAGCTTGAGAAGGAAAACCTTCTTCTAATTTTATTAATGAGTCTAAAGTAGACCTGAGGACTCTTTCGAAGCCGTGAGGTCTACATTCCCAAGGCGCTCAGCATTTACCCTCCTTCAGACCAAGCGACGTAAAATGAAAAGTTCTTTTTAGCACGTTAAGTGTAATGAATGTGCTTTAATGCATGTGAGGATAATGAAAATACAACTGTCGGCTCAACTGAAATTCATAATGATAAATATTTTTTTGAAAGAATAAAGGAATGATCCAGTTTTACTACCTTATAAACCACAAATCCACTGATGTGGTGGTAGTTGAAAAAATGGGGGAAATGTATGTATGTATGTATGTGTGTGTGTATTCATTGACATATATATAAATTTCCTCATCTGCAAAGTGTGCATATAATACTAGTTTTATATGGAGGTTTAGATAAGCTAACTTTGTAAGAGTTCTTAGTACCATGCATGACACATATATTGACATTTCATAAGCAGCATCTCATTCCTATTATAAATGCTTTCTCTCTCTTTTTTGTTGATTTCGCATTCACATTTCTGTAATTGGTCATAACGAATGACCTTAAGATGCCTGTGACCTCACTATGACTTCTAGGGTGAGATACAAATGTAGATGTATAGAGTCTGTAGCAGTATAGAGGTTCGAGTGAAGGAGGCTGATTCGTTTTCTAAAGGAATAATTAAATAAGACCAAGGCTTTGAATGATTCAGAGCTATGAAAGATTCATCATAAAGTATCACTTCTTAGAGCTGAAATGAGATCTACAGATGATCTGGTCCAGTGATTCTCAATCTTTATCATGCAGGCAAATCATCTGGAGATCTTGTTAAAGTGTTGATTCTGATTCAGTAGGTCTGGGGTGAAGCCTTAGATTTTGCGTTTATATAAACTCCCTAGCAATACTGATGCTCTCTGTCCATAGACCACACTCTGAATAACAAGAAGCAAGTCTACATTCTCATTTCAGAGGCAACTAAGGCCCAGAGAGGGGCAATTGCTTGCCCAATGTCTTAATGCCCAATGTTAGTAAGTACTGACTTGCCCAAGAGGCTAGTAAGTGGCAAAGCTAGGATTAGAACCAAAGTTTCCCAATTTCCAATTAACAGTTCTGTGATCTCATGCAGCAATTAAAAAGAAATCAATTTATTACAGTGTCAGAATTTAAAGCATATATGTTGCAAATTCAGAAGAGCAGTAAGCAACTGAGTAGAGTAATTCCTTGGTCAAACATTTTATTTTATTAAAAGATTTTAAAATCATTTCACGGGAGGTGGTTTATTGAAAACAATTGCAAAATGTGGATAAGCAAAATAAAAGTCACCATAATTCCACTACTGAAAGTTAACCAAAGTATATTGAATGTGCTCTTATACATTTTGGTTCATATCCTTTCTTATTTTTTTCTTACATGTACAATTTGTTGTGCAAAATTGGGTTAAATGCCAAATATTTCTTATGTCAATAACTATACTTCCATAACATCATTTTTAACAGCTCCATAACATCCCACTATGGAGGTGTACTACAATTTATTTAACTTTTGCTGGATGTTTAGGTTATTTCCTGTTTATATCCTTTAGTCTAGAAAGGAAAGTTATTTCTTGGCTTGCTGTGGCAGGATGGCACCCAGTTTCTCAGATGCCAGGAGTGGACATCCAATGCTATAATAAGAAGGAGGATAAATTTTATGAGTTTCAACCCAGGTATGCAAAGATGTGACTGATATGGAAGTATAAATTAGTTCAGGACAAACAAGAGGCATTTTTAGCATCATAACTTCATGCATTAGATCACGCCTCTGAATACCAGATCATAAAAGAAGTCAATCTTGTGTCTTAAACCTCTTGTGTTATTTTATGGGTCACTCTGGGATGTTGCTTCCTTCCCTCAGGCTTCCGGCCTATTATTTGTTTACTGTAAATTTGCCCTTCCGATATAGCTCAGCAACATTCTTGCTCAGAGCCAGAAGGTACCTCAGAGAATGTCTAATCCAACCCCTGAAATACATAAGGGAGATGTGACTTGTCCAAGGTCAACCAGCAATTTAGGTGCCATGCCAGGACTGGAAGCTAGGCCTGGAAGCCAGGACTCCTGACACTTTCCACCACCCCTCCACGGCCTCTGACCTTGGACCATGAATGAGACATCACAGTAGTGAAGGTCTGAACCACCTGCTGTCAGTCTACTTGGATAACCTTCCCCTCCTGTTTTTGTTCATCTGCTATTATTGCTTAGACATATCTAAAAAAGGCCTAGTGCCATCTCTGAACAAAAGTACCCCTCAAGGCTAATAACTCGAGGTATTATGATAATCGCTTTAGTTGTGGAGACTGATATTCAAAAGCAACTTCTTATGAAAGGAACAATACTTGATCCTCATGGGGAAAGATATTTTTAAACTCCCTGTAGGACTCTCTATTTGCAGATACCTTATCAGAAAGTTGAAAGCGATTAGGGATGGGGAATTATCTCTCAATTTATACTTGAGAATGTAAATTACATATAAACTAATGGGACTAAAACTATTTGATCTTTTAATATTTAATTAATGGTTCCCCCTGGCCTTTTTATAGCCTGTGTTCTATTGTGAGCAATGAGACTTTAATAAGCAGGTTTGGGACTTCCCATTGTGAGGCAAGATGTCGTTGCTTTCATGACACTAATTTGGCTTTCATACTCTCTCTTTTCCCCTCTTCTCTTACTACAGGGTTCCTTGTGTCTTGCTTTTACATTGGGAACAACTAAATATATTAGCTGTATTGTTATTGTCTGTGTGAGGTTCTTTCTGGTCTAGAAATTATATATCTCACTGTGCAAAAATTTCTCGACTCCCGTCTTTACACTGAAATCCCTTGAAGATTGTAATAAAGTTGATGTTTCTTTCTGAGGGCAGACACTTAACAGTAATGAAATAAGATGCCTTTCTTTCATTTTCAGGGAAAGGCACATTTGCTTGGACTTTACAAATCACATCCAATTTAGAGCTGGTTTTCTTACCTTATGTATTTATCACAAAGTGATTCTTCTCTGGGCATGATGACACCCACAAGAGAGATCTTATTGTGTCTCAGTCCCTAGGAGCATTCCTTTCTATGCTTCCCCCTCCTTTCACTGTCTAAAGGAGTCCAGTACAGAGGAAAAAATTATCAGCGGACATGAGTATTGCTTCTGTGACAATTGGCCCCAGGCTAGTCTAGCTCAAGGAAACACAAGGAAACAAACACGTATGTCTTTGAAATTCTCTCAGTAGGTTTGTTTTGACTGAAGATATTCAGTGCTAGACTGTTAGAGAAGATATTGCCGATTATGCTATGTAGTGACTTATAAGGGTCCCTGCTAATGATTTTTTCTTAAAATTGAGAATTAGAAATATATGTGTCTTGTCTTGTTAAGCTTTCTTTTATAAGATGATGAGTACGTGTTATTCCATCATTATTTCCTATTAGTTTTAGTCTGCAAGGAGTCTCAGAGCTAATTATTCCATTTCAGTAACCATTTGATCCCCAAATCCTGGTACAACTATTTCCCTGCTATTTAATATTAACAGTAAAAATGATAATAAAGTTTTTTATTATTCAGTGTTATCAAATGTTTTTGGCATTTCCCAACAGCTCTGTTACAGTTAATATTATCTTATCGATCTAACTAGAGAATAAACTGATGAACAGAATGACAAGATGACTTAACATGGGTCTCACAGCAAGCAAAAAGGCTGAGATTTAAACCTTGTCTTAGACACAAGTCAAAGTGCTCACATGTTTTATTTCATTTCCAACACTCAGTGGCTGTAGTTAATTTATTATGGTACCAGTAATAACAAATGGATGAGAGTAAAATACTTTATTGGAGTACAGTGTATAACTGTTCCATAAGGGTATGACCAGTGTTTCTGAAGGAGGTAAGAACATCACAGACAGTAAAGACATTGACAGAACTCTGGAGACTTTCAAATCATCTAGTAAAGAACACACTTTATTTTTAAAGTTTAACTTTTGAAAAAGTGTACAGTAAAATATCACCTTCATCCACTGTCCGCATCCATCAAGTTCCTTCCTCACCCTTAGGGAACCATTGCTAATAGTTTCTACCTATTATTTTAGAGTTACTTTAGGAATATACAAGCAAACACAAATATTTATGGTTATCTCTTCTCCTCCTTTTTAAACAAAAGGCAGCATATTTACCCTCTCTTCTCAACGTTTCTTTCTTTCCCTTAATAATATATTTTGAATCTTTCTATATTAATGCAATTTTCCTCATTTTTTTTTACATATTCATCATATTCCATTCTATGGATGTGTCCCATAATATGTCTAACTAGTCTCCTATTGATAGATATTTGGGTTGTTTCCAAATTTTTGCTATCTGCAAATAAGCCTACAAAGAACACTTTATGTATATGTCATTTTGCACATATGCAAGAATATCTATAGTATTAACTTCATAGAGGTGTAATGTGTGGATCAAAGGAAGGATCCTTTTGAGAGATTTTGCCAATTGCTTTCCATAGGGAAGACAAGGAAGGTTTCAAAAAATTCTGCAGTATTATATTCATCTTCACATATTTTTGGCAAAATGCCTGGCATAAAAGCACTCAACAAAACACTTATTTTAGGATTATTTCATTGTTTTCCAACTCCACTTATGATTTTTTTCTTCTGAAAAGTATTGGTTTCACTACCAAGTTATATTAGCTAAGGCAGAAATTATGTGGCTATAGGAAGAGAGACAGAAAAAAATACCCACGATGAGTCACTAAAGAAAGTATCATTTTTTAGAGGACTTTGGCAGATGAGCCTGGTAGAGTCAGGCTGCACCACAGTGAGCTGAGGTTGGGTGATGGGAGAATCGTCATGGGATCATAGGGAATTTCCCTCCATGGTAGTCCAGTCCTGCCAGCAGGGTCACTGGAAACCAGTGATGTTGTCACAACCTCCTCTGTCACTGGGAGCTCAAGGCATATTTGATTAATGTCCCAGAACTTACTGATTTCATGACATTCAGGTTTCTGCAGGCGTGGGGTGCCACATTAGCCTTCTGACAACACTTTAACCAGCAGCAAAGGAAGACAAGAGAGTCAGAAATCACTCAGTCTGCTGGCTGACTGTCCAATTCAACAGGAAACCTGTTGAAATCATAGAATCAGAATCTCTTGGTCTTAGGGCTGTGATCATATTTTCTTAAAGATTTCCAGGGGGTTTGGATCATGAGCTTGGCTCAGAAAGCTTTGGTTCAGTCTACTCAGTTGTCTTATAGACAAGGAAATGGAGGCCAAAGAAAGTCAAATAATTGGCTGTAGGTCACAGAATTCCTTCATGACAGATCTGGAATATGAACCCATGTCACTCAACCCTTTGTTCAGGAGTTGTCCTGTCCATTTCCTGGATGACTTGGGCTGTGTGGAGTGAATTGGAGGGGAAGGAGAGAGCTAAGTAGGTAAAGCTCTGCACCATTTACCCTCACTTATTCTTTTCCTGTTTTTCACATATGGATTCTCATATAAGATTTTTCTTGACCAATGGACTCTGTGGCCACAATGTTTCAAAGCCTTTTTTCATAGACTGACAAAACAAGCAAACTCAAATCTTCCTACCACCCCACCTCTGAGAGGAAAAGGTATTTGAATGGGTCCTAACCACGACGGTGACCCAGTTTCCTTTTGTGAGAAAAGGGTCTCAGGCTGGGACAATTAGAAGTGTTAATATTTAGAGAAGATTAAGTGTTTAGTATTAAAGCCCTATTATATAGAGAATACATGATAACTTGCAACCACCCAGGGTTGGGGATGAGGCCAGCACTGTGTTGTAGGCCTGGAAATGGAAGATTTGGGTTTCTTGTTTTGTCTCTGCCACTTCTTAGCCGAGTGAACCTAGCAAGTTACTTCCCCACACTGGCCCCTGTTTCCACACCTATAAAATGAAATGGCTTAGACTAGATAAGCCCTGGGCTACAGTGATTCTCAACCTTGGCTACACATCGGAGTCATTTGGAATGCTTTAAAAAATCCTAATGTACTGACATGTGGGCCTCACCCACTGATAATTGGACTGGTGCGCAGCTTGGGCATTAAGATTTTTAAAGGCTCCCTTGGTGATTCTGATGTGTAGCCAAGGTTGAGAATAACTGCCTAGAGAGCAAATGGTTCTCATAGTTGAGTCTCACACCAACAGCATCACTTAGAAACTTGTTTGAAACGCAAATTCTCAGGCCCACCCCAGACCCACTGAATCAGAAACTCTGGGGACAGTGCCAAGAAATTGGTGTTTTAAAACACACTTCAAATGAGTCTGATGTGCACTGAAATTTAAGAATCGTTGAACTAGAGGGTCTGTGAATTTCTCATTAGGACAGAGGTTAATCAATTTTTAAGCTAGAGGTAGGCCCATAAGTAGGAACACCTGTGTAGAGAAGGGTGCAGAAAGCCAGGTAAGAAGATAAAAAAGCTCATTTCCCAGAGTCAGCTAACATTATGCTCAGTATATTGCAAGAAGGTTTCTCTTTTGTGTTTTATTTTCATGTGCTCTTTGAAGAGAGAAAGATTTGATTTAAAAAATGTACATATTGCTAAATGCTTTGAACGTCCTGATAAACATGTTTGTTTGGAAAAGCTGGTCCTCTGAAAATGGCTGTCTTCATTTCTATGAAAAAGCATGAGTAAGATTATGTTGAAGACAGGACTTGGATCACTTTTGTCCCACCCAAGGAGAGCAGCTTAGTAAACACCAGAGTTCAAGCCTCAGCTCTCCACCAGGCGGTGCCTAGAACAAACAGACAAATGCTAGAGCTTTCTTTCCTGATCAGCTTTCTGGAGGAGCTGCAGAGATATACTAACTAATCCTAAGCACAAACAGGGCTTGGTCTTCTCTAAACTAGGTATTTTCTTCTTCCCACTTAGCCAGGTGCCATTGAGACCGCCATGGAAGACTTGAAAGGCCACATAGTCAAGACCTCTGGAGAGACAATTCAAGGCTTCTGGCTCTTGACAGAGTGAGTAGTGATGGCTAAGTGAAGGGCAATGGAAATCTAGCATTTTCCTTGACACTACTATAACAGAATAGGAGATGGGTCTGTGGAAGAATTTCTTCTGGTTCCTGTGTAAGATAATTGATTGACATATCCAGTTAGTGAGCAAAGTTTCTTGGTGCCCCATGGCTGCTAGTATGACCAGATTCAACTTCTACAACTGTTTTCTGGGATAGTCGCTTCCCTCAACCATTACTATGACTACCTTAAGTGAGGCGCTCATCATTGCTCTCAAGGACTATTGCTTTAGCCTCCTAACTGATCCCTCTGGTTCCAATCTCTGTCTCTTACAAGCACTCTCCCTCTAACCACATCAGGCTACTAACCATCCCACTTGGGGTACAATGAAAAGGAAGGTTAGGAAAGAGAATGAATGAAGTCAACATATACAGTTTGAATTTTATTTTATAAAATAACATGAGCAGAAAAACCAGGAAAATCATGCAGGATAGAGAAGACAGGCCACCTGTCCAGAGTTAGGATAAAAATCAAGTCTAATGCTTTTTGCTTTAATAACTGCCTCCTTCATCTCTAAGGTTTTTCTTAGCTATAAGGGCTTTCATTGCAAATGACACCATGAAGATGGTCACCTTTCTGGCCTGCCCTGAAACTCTAGTGTCTGTGAGACGTTGTCTTCACCCACCAGGAGAATATTAGGAATGCCATTGTCTTTACAATGCAAGTAAAATATTCACAGAAGGAAGAGAGGCACCCTTTTATTTCTATAGAACCCATAATATTAAAGAGAGAATGCAATTAGAACTTCATTTCAGATACTTAATCAGTTCAGTAAGTTTTCTGGCTTGGTAACGTGATCACCAACAGTTCCAGCATAAATTCCTATGATTCTTCAGTAATACCTATACTCTGAGTGAAGAATCATTTAATCTTTCTCCACTGGGCAGGACATCTTCTTTGACTAAGTTTCAGGAGGGCAACACTTGAATGTTTAACCATCTAGGCCAGCACAACAACTCCTTCAATCAATGAAATGTAGAACCAGCTCAGCTGTGAGTCCGTCTGACTGACCACCATGTTATATTATTGTTTCAAATGGGTTCCAAGAATTGAATGAAAATGAACTTTTGAAAACTAACCTGACAATTTCTGAGCATTTGTTTCTTCATCTATAAATGGAGATAATGATATGTATTTGAAGAGTTGTTGTGAGGACCAAGCGAGATAACATTATACAATTCTTAGCAAAGTCCTCAGCAGATAGTGGATTTTCAATAGACGTTAGTACCCCTCTGTTCATGAGTACTAACTATTGGTTAAAAGGCCTGTTTTGGGAAACCCTTGCCTTTATTTCTATCCTATCCACCTCCATTTCTATCATCTCTGGTTACCTCTAATGAACAGGAAAGTCTACAATTTAGGCTTTTCACTAATTCACTTTTACCAACACACATTTCATTCCCCACTTTCCACCTCCCATCTGCAGAGTAAAATTTGACTTGTGCAAATGAAAAGTCTGCCTTGATTAGGACAGATGTCTAGTTAAACTCTGAAGGTCAAATCAAAAGTAAACCCTTACAAATTTTGTTCCAAAAATGCGTCTCACTTATAAGGAAGAACGAGCAAATGTAGTCTTTCCAAATCCAGTAGCAGCTATATTTGAATTCTCAGATAATAGAATCAGTAATTTCCTTAATAGAGCGTATTTTAATTGTTTGGTTTTATTTGTATAGAAGTTTGACTTGTTTTTTTATTTGTCTGAATGTTTTGTTCATTGATTATAAAGGCCTGTAGATAGCAATTGTCCAAAGATAATCAGAGTGTGTGATCTGCATTGAGGCTTAGCATCGTAATTCTGTGTGTTTGATTTAACATCAACTAGAATGACTGGTGAAACCAGTAGTTTTCAGATAAATAGGAACAGCTTTGCCCCGAAGATCCAAGTTTTGCACCCCGTTTTGAACCTAAAGGAAGCTCAAAGAGGTGGTAAGGACTATCTGGCAACCAGTTTTCTATTTCTCTTCTGTTTTTTGGTACCCATTTATATCAAGGATAGCAATGAGGGATGTATCCTGTGTATGTGGAACTTCGAGCAGTCTCACATTTGCTTGTTTGCTGACAGACTGTCTTCCTTTGCACATTGAACCCAGTTCTCCTCTTTAAATGGTAGTTCTTTTGTGTTCTGTTTGGTTTTCCTCTCTGCCAAAATCCTCTTACTCCTCCCCCACCCCCATCAAAAGCTACTTTCAAGAAAAGATCTGATTACAGTCATTTCTACCGTAGTAAAAGTTCATCAGTTTCTTTTCTTTGCTTGTTAAGCCTTACAGCTGGTTCAAACTGCCTTCTTGCCATGGAAAGAGATGCCAGTTGTAAAGAAGATGGTTCAGGCCTCTGGACTAAATGAATAGGCTCCCAGTCACTATGACTGCTTGAGCAGAAGATGGGAGGCTCTTTGTCAAAGGAGGGGTGTGCATAGAGGTTTCGAATGACCTTTCACACTTAAGTCTTTTGTTTGTAGTGCATCAATATAGGGAAAGGTAAAAATAACAAGAGCAAAAACAAACAGAAACCAACCCACCCAAATAACAACAGCACTAAAAAAAAAACTAAATGAAATAAATCTATAAACACACAGGGGGGTACAGAAAGGTGAGAGCCTGGGGCTACTCTGTCCCCTCTCTTCTTTTTTATAATGGAAGGAGACCCATCCATTCAGTTCTTATGAATTACAGGGGCTGTAATATCAACCAACTTCCCCAACCCCACCAACCACACAAGACTCTTTTCAAGCATAATGCTTTTTGTGTGTGACAGAAATGACTGGGCTTTATGCACATCAACTTTCAGCTCCTTTTATGAGATGCTGCTCATCCAACAGTTTAAAGAATGTCTGCTTTCAAATAAGTATTCCAATTTCAGAATGATGGCAGTAAAAACCCTTTTGATGTAGATAGCACATTATAAAGTATCTTCACTTCCGTGAACTTGCTTTAGCTTCATTACAACTTTGCTGGTTTTATGATTCCCATTTTATAAATGAGAAATGGAGACTAGGAAAGATGAAGTGGCCAGATGAAGATCATGTAAGTGATAGAACAAGGAAGATGGACTGCACCCTGTGTTAGCTGGGTTCTGACTCCTTCCCAAGAGTGTAAGGTGTAGGTGTGGGGCGATTAATGAACCCAGCTCAATCTTTTGTCATGGTTGGCCAGACTCCTAGAAGTAGTTGGATATAGGAGGGCAAGGTGGGAACTGTCAAGAGAGGAGACTGGAGAAGTACTTAAGGGCCTCATACATCATGTTTAAGAACTTAGATTCTGTCCCATAGGTGATGGGGAGGCACTGAAGGGTGAGAAAGTGTGACTATATTTATATCTTATAAAGATCACTAAAGGTCCACATCCCTTATCCAAAACCCTCAGGACCAGATGTGAGTCAGATTGAGAATTTTTCAGATTTTAGAGAGGTAAAATAATGCATATGCTGTTTATTTATGCCCCAAATGGATGTCTGGGACAGCCCCCCATAATCAAACACATTAATATTTCTGCAAGGAAACATGTGATATTAAAAATAGAATAAATAAAAACAATAGATGGTCTCATGCTGGTTCTGACCTGGTTTTACCACAAAGTAAGTTTGCACCACAGCTGCCATTTTCAGAAATTTGTTGAATTTGGAATTGTGGATGAGGGTTTGTGACCTGCACATGTTTCAAATGTGAATGATTGGTGAATAGATGGGAGGTTGGGTGACAAGTTAGAAACTTGTGCAACATCAGCGAGTGTCTGATCCAGTGGTGGGCTGGAGCTGGTTCACACTGGCTCATAAGAGGTGAATTTTGAGAGTCAGTTGTTAATTATTAAAATTAAATTATATAAAATTTCACAGCAAATAAGTTAAATTTAAAACAAAGGTAATGTACTCAAAACTCCTCATTTTCTGATTATTTTACTTCATTTTGCTGTTATGTTATGCTGTTGGGGTTATTTATACGCATTGTATTTGGGTAGGGAAAATACTATATGAAGGTGTGCTACCATCTCTTCTCAACCCCACATTCAGTGATGCCATGTTGGGAGCTCGGAACTGGTGGTGCTTACACCATGGAAATTGTCAAACACTACAGATCAGAGCTTGATTTATTGTTTTGTTGATTGTTTAAACTTAAGAAAGTAATGGCAAATATGTTAACAATGCCGATTAAACTTAAAACTGTTCAGTGTCGGGGCCGGCCCGGTGGCGCAAGCGGTTAAGTGCGCGCGCTCCGCTGCGGCGGCCCGGGGTTCGCTGGTTCGGATCCCGGGCGCGCACCGACGCACTGCTTGGCAGGCCATGCTGTGGCGGCGTCCCATATAAAGTGGATGAAGATGGGCACAGATGTTAGCCCAGGGCCGTCTTCCTCAGCAAAAAAAGAGGAGGATTGGCGGATGTTAGCTCAGGGCTGATCTCCTCACAAAAAAAAAAAAAAAAAAAACTGTTCAGTGTCTGTGGCTGTTACACTGTAATAGCACACACACAAAAACTGAGGAAATAGTCTTCCAGCATTCAAAAACTATTATCCAATTCAGCAAAAAGTCACCTTTCTCATCTGAATGGATGAAGTCTGGGCAAGTGGCTGAGGAGAGCTTAATGCCAGGCAGATGTCACAAAGTTGCAGAGGGTCTGTGTTCTGGGCACTTGGCTGGGGCAGATGCCACTGGCTGTTCTCACACTGACACTGCTGACCCTCAGCCAAAGCTGGAAATTACAAAAAGCCTCTTCTTCCTGCTATACCCCTCTAGCGCTCTCTACTGCGAAAGCATAACAAGGTGTACAATTTAAAGGAGCAATGCTTACAGAAATTCTGTTGTTTATCATGGAGCATATACCAAAGGGTGCATTGGGAACTGGGAGGCAATAAACCGATACCTGACATAGTTGGGCTGTATGGATCTTTCTGTTCAATAGTCCATGAAGAAGGAGTCCAGGGTAACTCTTGGGCTTTGACCTGGGAAACTGATGGG